AAGCTGAATAAGAGAAACAAAGATTCTTTATTTCTTTACAAATAAGGTGTGACTCAAACTTTTGTTTAATGTTTCAAATTTGATCTTTAAGCATCTGGGGTATGTCGGTCTCTTTCCGTTAAGACAATTATCCATTCATCTTAAATTCAAACTTAATCAAGTGTTTACTTTGTATGGTTTTAGAAAAGTACGAACATTTAATCAATAAAGATCTATTAAGAGAGTGAGTGAGGTTTTACACCGCCTTTAGCAATATTCAGCAATATCACGGCGGGGGACACAAGAAATGGGCTTCACACAAGTCGGGAATTGAACCCGGGTCTTCGGCGTGACGAGCGACCGCTTTAACCACTAGGCTACCCGACCGCCCCTATCGCCTATTAAGAGCGGTATGTGTAATATACTGACCTGATCTATTGGTATAGCAAGAGCATGCCCAACGAATAGGATGAGAACAACTCCTAACATGGTGCCTTCAAGAAACCGTTCTGAAATAATAGTAAGTAAAGAAGCTAGTTATACTGATGATCTCTGTTCTTGATAAGGACCGTGGGAGCGGACGTTTGGCGATTGTCAAAGTGTTACGTGTTGATTCCAAAGGTCGCAATGTATATTTAACCTCTTTAAGTGACTACAAACCCTTTGAGATAAAAGGCAAGTGATCCTCTCAAAATATAGCAGACTTTGGTAACCGAACACTACAACCATACTCAACCTCAGTGTTAATGACATCAGAAATCGGCTAGGACTTGACATTCACAAAAGCATGGGGAGAAGTTTCTGATGTTTGTGATGAGCATGCGACGTGGCTTGTGACAATATCTACATCTAACAACTGACGAGAAATCTGAATCCTGTTTCGGATAAACGGGGGCATCTGGCTTTCCATGGAATAAACGAACCTGTCTGAACCGAAGAAACTGACCTTTCCTAATCTGAATTACCCTACTGACCTGAACATTCCTGGTAGTGACCGTACTGCCTAAAATCACCTGAGTGGCCGACTAACCATCTGTCATCTGTTGCAGACTGGTGAAAATATAGCATGTCAAGGCCAGAGAATAACCAGTCTCGATTATCCGTCGAAACAAATTCCATTGGTCGTAAAAGAGCGGTGACAATTATATGAATTAATAATGACAATGAGTGATGACACTGATGTTCACCTGCCCAAACCCAAACGAACCAGATCAGAATCCGCCCCAATCACAATCACCCTCCCCTACATCGGCAAGACCTCTCATCAAATCAGCAGATTACTTTAGCACCAAACAGGTATTGATACCATCTTCACTGACTCCCCATCCCTTAGAACTATCCTCCAAGCTAATTGCCGCACACTCACCCCCAACCCCACCCCCTCGACTGTACATTTGGCTTCATTCAATTATCAGCTTGTTTTAAATATACCTCTCATCACTTGGTTGCTCAAGCTTCATAACGGTGTAAGAATCTACATCAAAACGTGGCTGTATGCATCAAACCAGAAGTTGTTATCCATTTATCCATAAAGTTTTTCTTGTCAAATTTATGTTTGTGCTTGAATATTGATTCGATGCGATTTAAAGGTTTGTTCCAGCGGGCAGATTATCGTGTCCGATGTCTTTAGCGAGGTACTATTAATACCTGGTACATGCATATGTAGGTTCATGTGTATTTATTCTCTTTGCAACACATGCCCCACGTTTCACTCGCTTCGCAATCTGATGGCAACAGACACAAATTGAATTAATCTGGTGAACTAAATATTTTATTTCATAAGGTCATCAGGAATTCTTTGATAAACAATGTATGAAAAACAAAATGAAATAATAACGCTAACTGTATAACATTACAGTTTATTGACATTCCATGAAATAAGAATCATATCTTAATGAAGTCACGCTCGTCAGCTAGTAACTCTACTATAGTGAAGAACAGTCGCCTTTGGTAACAGTCAGATCATCAATGGCAATGTCACTTCTGTGGGCGTTGCCAATGTCGCCTTCTATTTTAACCTAAAACAAGGAAGATCGGCGTAACACATGAAGCAATAGTACAAATGGTTAACGGTCAACTGGAGAGTCCATCCGCAAGACTCACATTAAAGGGTTTCCATTGAGGTTGGCAAGAAAACGACAAAATCCTTTCCCTATTCATTAGAAATCTCTGCTAAAAGCAGAGTCTCTGAAAAGATTCCGACTATGTCATGAGTATATGTTTATGAATCGCTATCGAATAGGGGTGATACCAAGTGTCCACGAAAAGGTGAGTGTATCCTCCTCCACCGGTGACACCCGTCACAAACACATGGAAAGACAAGTCAATTTCAAAGAAAGCAAGACTGCATTTGTAATACGGTTTTCATGTTTGGCTCGTGGTATGGCTTTTACATATCTCACGCATATCTCATCTCACTAAACAACTCAGTTTGAATTTTGAACCTGACAATTCAGCATTTGCAATCTGTTTGAGTGATATAGCATTGGTTCCATATCCTGTTAGGGACGTACCACGTCTAGCAGTCAACTCACCTTGAAATCCCCAGTTTTAACTTCGAGGTTGGTCATGTAGTGATGCCACCCGTGACCCTGATCACCAGACACAGTGTGCAAGTTCGTATCATGGCCTCCTGTTTGCAACCCTACTTTCAGACTTCCTTCGTCGTGGCCATGTATGCTGTAGTAGACGCTCAGACAGTAGTTGCCTGCAGCGAATGTCTCGGACAAGAGGTAGCCTTTCTTGTGTTCATTTCCCGATGCTTCAAGGTAGGCACAGTAACCTGAAAGGTAATACATAATAAAGGGTTCTGTGCGTTTTCATAACTATATGTAATAAAAAGGCATTCATGGTCAGAATAAAATTCCACAGAAATAATAAATATTATTATTGCTTTGGGGTTTTTTTCGTTTTTCAACTCGCCCAGATGTATTATTTACTTATTGACTCCGGTATAGAGTTTTTGTACTAAGCATCTGCTCGCGGAAACACTTCAAGAAACAAATCATAAATTTTACATGAATTCCATAGCGTATAAGTATTACCTAACAAACCAAGAAATATTCGTCATTGGACACTAAATTGAATCATTGAATTGGTAAATCTGGACGTGCTGCGCCATAGGTGATATACTGCAGACAACCAACCTTTGTCTGGCTACCGTCAGCCAGGAAGCCTTGCTTCTTATGTATTTCTGTTTGGCATAACAAAATATCATTAAATCATATGACATAGCTTATATGCGTTAGTTCGGAAATGTCATTACGTGGAAGATTCTACGGGGTTTCAGAGTGTACCAATGGCACGCTAGTAACACCCCCATCACTCACCGCTTGATGACCCGGAGTGATCAGTCGTGGGTCCTGTGTGTGAGGTCGGAGTGCTTCCTCTGGTACGGATCCAGTTAATGTCTCCACCATTCTGCCATTTGCAGAGATCAGTTTGGAAATTGCATGTTTCAGAGGCTACATGAAAAGATCAAAACACGTACCATTAATGATCGAATGTCCAAAGTTTCTTAATGAATACTAAAAGTAAAATTATGTTTAAGCCTTATTGATGCGATTGCTCAGTAATATATTTCAGCTGTTGTGTTAGACATGCTCACATCCGACCGAATGGGGATCGGTTGGTTCGTATTCGACGTACGAAGCGCCCATGACGCTCTCAAATTAGAAATAGGGGACTCATATTAAAATATTATTTTGGTGAAAAAGATAAATTTATTGCCCATAATTAAGGTTTCATATAACACACGAGTGCATATCATACGCGAATAAATAAGTCTTGTGAACATTGATCAATCGGAAGGATGGCTAATTGGGATTGTTCACAAGACAATATATTCGCACATATCGCCGTGGGTGCTTATTAGAGCGTGGCGCTTATTACGTCGATTACGGTAACTTGGCCGTGTATTATCGCATCACGATGGCGTCGCTGCTTCCTAGTTTTTAACAACATGTTTATCTGGGGCATTTTTCAGACCACCTCAGATAAGGCACGTATGTTGGTAATGTTACTCCATTTAAAGATCACGAACGCTTTTGATATGGATATTAAACTTACACGAAGAAGGATTTGAGGCACGTTTCCCCGAATGAGTTGCACAGTCGTAGTAGGTTTGCATTTCCTGAATGTCCCCATGGCTGAGGTGGTCTCTCTGTCCAATCGACACCCCCTTCTTTTTGACGATGATCGTTGGCTTCGAGCGGTCTATAGCGAACTCATATGCGTTGTAATGCATCACAGACTCGTAGTCATAAGGTTTCCCAAATGTGTCGGCTTCTACAGAGCTTTTACGGTCAAAGTTGTGTTCATGGCCTGAAGTAATAAAAATCATTTGAAGTATGGGTGAAGTGGCATGCTGAATTGAAGATTTCGCCTTGTGATATTCATTGTATTGACACCGCCAAAGAGGTTTATTAAAAAGTGTATATTAACTAATGAATCAGTTCATTTTAACGAAACATTTATATTACTATCTAAAGAAAAACTACAGTGAACTACGTTTATAACGAACACACTTATAATGAAGTGACGGATATAACGAACTGTTGTTTTGGATCCCGGCCATTTGCGGTATCCTTTTGTTGAAACGCTTATAACGATCTACGGTTATAACGAACAAAAATATTGGTCCCTTTCAGTTCGTTATAACCAAAGTTTACTGTTATCGTGTTACATACATTAACAGTTAACAGCAGATAGATGTAGCCCCAAAAAACTAAAAAACTGAAAGACATTATCCATGTAATTTTGACTGAATTGAACAAAATAACTTCCAAAACGACCTTTCATAATGTGACTTTTCTCTATACTGGGTTAGCTGAAGTAACCGGATCTTTGTGCTGCTCCCTATAAACTTGTCACATAAAAATAACGAACTGAAGTCGCAATATCAAAATTCTCCACAGGGAGCAGCACAGATATTCGGATCTACACCAATATCCCCTTACGTGGTTTTATATAAAAAACATGTACCCTTCCTGATGTTGCTCCATTAAATACTGATGTAATTATCTCTGTCGGGACGACTCTGCTCGTGCCAGAACCCCAGGGAGTGCATGGTCTCGTGCATGACGGTTCCTAACTTCATGCATCCACTGCCGAGAGTCACGACATCCAAGCCACTGTGACGTCCTACAGGAGTATGGCACCTGCACCAACATACATTTTATGGAATCAATGGTATGTTTCGAAATGTCCCATTTGTTATATCGGCACCGCAGTGCATGTTGCAGTTAAATCAGTTTGTGCTGGAAGGATGAAACCTGCATTGATCGTTGGAGATGTGCGATGAAGCATACCAAACCAAGCCACTCATTGTAACAATCCGTTCCAATTTCCAAACATAGGGTGACGGAGACATATTGACCCTTTGGCTTTGCCATGTATTACCCTTGAATTTGCCATTTTTATTACACCTTCAGCGCAGTTAAATGAACGAAATGCAAACCCTTGTTAAAATATTTCCAAACCAACCACATGTTTGGAGAGCTTTCATATCAGTTTAAATTTCATGTTATTGCTGGAACGACACACGATCAGCCATTGTAATTTATCCTTCTTATGTATAGAGTACTTATATTTTGCATCACCTGTCATGCATCAGCTCATATATTTGCATGTTAACACCTCCTTCATTTGTTTGTTTGTCGATTCACACCGCAATCAGCAATATTCCAGCTGTATGACGGCGGTCCGTAAATAATCGAGTCTAGACTAGACAATCCAGTGATTAACAACATGAGCATCGATCCACACAATTGGAATACGATGACATGCATCACCCAAGTCGCGAGCCTGACCAATCGATCCCGATAGTCGCCTCCCACGACAAGCATGGGTTGCTGAAGACCTATTTAACCCAGATCTTCACGGGTACAATCCCTCCTTCAAGTCAAGTGACACAAGTATATGTGTACCTTCTTTCTTGTATCCTCACATTTTGTATCGGAATGATGTCAAGTAAATTGATCAGATAATGAGTATGTAGAGCTTTTGAAAGTTACATGCATACCATTATGCAAGCAATTTAACTGAATAGTACAGTTTTTGTTTCAAATGCATGATGGGTACAGATAGTTCTACATGTGGACGACATGCAAGCACACACTCGTACAAGCGATATGACTGAATAGTACAGTTTTTGTTTCCAATGCATGATGGGTACATCTAGTTCTACAAATTGACGATATGCAAGCATACACTCGTACAAGCGATATAACTGAATAGTACAGTTTTGGTTTCAAATGCATGATGGGTACAGCTAGTTCTACAAATGGACTATGTGGTATTTACCCCGATCCTCCCGCTTATCGTATGTAGGCATGCTCGTGGGTGCGGGGTTTGAAAGTGATGCACGCTTTGCCATTGACTTTGGTCTTCTCATGAATTGTCTGCATGGCAGTATGTATGGTTCTCTCCTCAGACGATGCTACATTAGAAATACTATGTCATTCCAAACAGAGGTATGCATAGCAACGTGTGTGAAGTGCTCTCTGATATCGTTAAAATTCATTGTTGTTACGGCAGCATTCATGTAGCTGTCCTATATTCAAAACTATGTCATTGAAACATTGTTTATTGTTTCAATTTCCAATTATTGTATTTATTCATGCACATGTATTGAAATCCGAATTCATCTTTAGTTGTTTATATTTGTTCAGAACAACTTTTCATTGCTTACAGAAATGATGGGTGTCAATTTCGAAAGGAACTTCGCCATTTGGCCATCGGTAGTTTTTGTCTCTTCTCGCATTTCTGTCCTGTAAAATAGACATGTTTTGACAATTCTGAAGTTTGCATATATCACAATGATTGAAAAAATTCATGTTATGACATGATACTTTAAATACTTTTCCATTTTTCTCATCTTATTTAATTATATACAAAACAAAATGCCTTACGTTGGGTTTTTGTCCTGGCATGAGAATGATATCTCCCTCGAAGAGGCCTTGCAATAACAAATATTCATTTGATTTATATAGTAAAATACTTTTATGACAAAAATGGATGCGTGGGTGGAAAGTGAATGCCTTTTTAAAAGAAACAATGACTTCTTTCTTTGCAAAATCATTATCGCACTGATTCAAAATAAACAATGCCGGTTTTGGTCACATGAGACCCAAGAGACAAATGGTTCCCAACCATTTGATATCATGAACAAATGTCTATCGACATAGCAAACATTTGGAACACTTTCCACAAATCATTTGACTCATTTTTCTGTGAATCTTCAAAAGTACAGATATATGTCTGTCCACTCATTATTTAGGATCATATCATGAAACAGGTGCAGTGGTGAGGTGAAATGGAGTTCAATATCGCGTTCAAAATTATTGCACTTATATAGCGACGTGATAATTAAAAAGACTTATACAAACTTTCGAAGAAAATCATAAAAATCTTAATTATTTGTGAACCTACCAGGGTTTTCTTCCGGATACGCCTCTAGAAAAATAAAAGAAGAATTAAGTTTTAAAGCTTTAATTTGATATTGACATAAATTTGAAAGTCGTGGTTTTTATTATGGTACCATTGTAGTGTTGATACGGAGGTCCGTACTTAATTGCAGACAATGAATAAATGAACATTATCTTCAAATTTCACAAATTAATGCAAAATTACAAAACAATTAAATGTTCATTTATATATCAATTTCAACAAACACCTTGTCACTGAGTCTATTGTAGCATATGTGTGTCATAACTGAGACTTAAAGTGGTGGATGGTGCATGTCATGGTATCCCAATTGCGTGGATCAATGGTCATGCTCAATCACTGGATTGTCTGGTCCAGACTCTTTTATTTACAGACCGTCGCTATATAGCTGGAACATTGCTGAGTGCGGCGTTCAACAACAAACAAACAAAACTGAGATGACGGTATGTCCACAAATCACAAACTGGCTGTTTGCATGCATTCACTTGTGATTGCCAGTCATTAGGATAAGGTTGTGTAGCCAGGTGACGTGGTATCACACCATACATGAATGTTGCCTTACATCAGCCAAACAATTGATCAACAGCTTTAGAAAAAGAATGTGATTCGTTTATAAATAAACGCTTGTAAAAGCGCTTACCTCAAAGCTATATGTTTATGCATCATATTGCACTTACCATCGAAGTCTGGAAGCTGAATAAGAGAAACAAAGATTTTTTATTTCTTCACAAATAAGGTGTGACTCAAACTTTTGTTTAATGTTTCAAATTTGAAGGGGTATGTCGGTCTCTTTCCGATAAGACAATTATCAATTAATCTTAAATTCAAACTTAATCAAGCGTTTACTTTGTATGGTTTTAATCAATAGTGACATGAAACAAATCGCCAATTAAGTGAGTGAGTGAGGTTTTACGCCGCTTTTAGCAATATTCCAGCAATATCACGGCGGGGGGACACATTAAATGGGCTTCACACATTGTACCCATGTCGGGAATCGAACCCGGGTCTTCGGCGTGACGAGCGACCGCTTTAACCACTAGGCTACCCGACCGCCCCTATCGCCTATTAAGAGCGGTATGTGTAATATACTGACATGATCTATTGGTATAGCAAGAGCATGCCCAACGAATAGGATGAGAACAACCCCTAACATGGTGCCTTCAAGAAACCGTTCTGAAATAATAGTAAGTAAAGAAGCCATTTATACTGATCTCTGTTCTTGATAAGGACCGTGGGAGCGGACGTTTGGCGATTGTCAAAGTGTTACGTATTGATTCCAAAGGTCGCAATTTATATTTAACCCCTTTAAGTGTCTACAAACCCTTTGAGATAAAAGGCAAGTGATCCTCTCAAAATATAGCAGACTTTGGTAACCGAACATACTCAACCTCAGTGTTAATGACATCAGAAGTCGGCTAGGACTTGACATTCACAAAAGCATGGGGAGAAGTTTCTGATGTTTGTGATGAGTATTCGACGTGGCTTGTGACAATATCTACATCTAACATCTGACGAGAAATCTGAATCCTGTTTCGGATAAACGGGGGCATCTGGCTTTCCATGGAATAAACGATCTGACTTTCTTGGATTCGAACCTGTCTGAACCGAAGAAACTGACCTTTCCTAATCTGAATTACCCTACTGACCTGACCTGAAAGTACCCTGACCATTCCTGGTAGTGAATGTACTGCCTAAAATCACCTGAGTGGCCGAGTAACCATCTGTCATCTGTTGCAGACTGGTGAAAGTATAACATGTCAAGGCCAGAGAATAACCAGTCTCGATTATCCGCCAAAACAAATTCCATTGGCCGCAAAAGAGCGGTGACAATTATATGAATTAATAATGACAATGAGTAATGACACTGATGTTCGAGAAAAGGGGAAGCATGTCTTGTCCTGATCTACCCTCAAAAAAAGTCGTAAACACAGCATGAACATACTGCTTGAAACCTTCCTCCAAAATCAGTCATCAAAGTATTGGCCTACATCCTTCCATCAAACAAAGCCTCCTTTTCTTGATCAAAATCCACACAAACATCCTCACATCATTTTTGTGTAAGTGTAAGAGGAAAAGTTTCGTTATTGAAAAGGAGGGACTAATCTGACATTTCTTGTCACATCAAAGTAATTTTCTTGATGTTGAGAGGCATTTTTTTTGTTTACAAATACAATTCCTTTAATTTAAAATCTGTCTCCTCTTTCTCATTCTTTCGGAAATTCTAATTCTTTCAGTTTTGATTCTTTCTGAAATTCCATTTCCAGCCTTTTTAATTCAAAGCTTTCTGATTTTACCCCAAACAACGCCAACGCCAAAGCTGAATCGCCTCAAAGTACCTCCATAAACATATGTTTTAATCAAGACAATGGCTTCCTGTAAAGCCTCCAAAATGCATTGATGTTGGACATGCCTGTTGACCCCTCGTGTTTGTTCGGTTTTAATATGTTTTAATCAAGACAATGGCTTCCTGAAAAGCCTCCAAAATGCATTGATGTTGGACATGCCTGTTGACCCCTCGTGTTTGACCCCTCGTGTTTGTTCGGTACTACTAAATATATATATAATGAAGTCCACGTTAGTCCATCATCTTCTTTATATCAGTTTCAGACATATTACTCTCGCTGTCTCATGACAGCTCTTCAGTGTAACTGACAATGACATATAATATGACGTCATACTTATGATGACGTCATAAATTACAACTGTGACGTCATAATGTATTTACACACTCCAGCGACGACACCAAGTAATTTAACAATTAAAAAACACAGTGAAGACTTCTCTTGAGATCTACACCCTAAAGAAAAAGACTACTTAAGAAACTGTGACCCGCAGACGGCTAATTTCTACGGACTACCCAAGATCCATAAAAGTAAATTGAAAAATAACGCTATTGCCGAACAGAATGCGGAGTATATCGAAATTACCAGCTGTCCTGATTTCACATTCAGGCCGATTATCGGAGGACCGAACAGCCCGACTCAGCGCCTAGGTAATCTCGTCGATATCATTTTAAAACCATTAACAAAGCACGTACCGAGTTTTGTAAGAGACGATGTAGACTTTCTTACCCACCTGCCCGATGCCGTACCTATTGATGCGACTCTAGCCACCTTTGATGTGAAGAGTTTATTTACCAACTTACCCCATGATCTGGGATTGGAAGCAGTTCAATTTTGGCTGAGAAAACATCCTGAGGCTACTGACACTGAATTTTCGGAAAGCTTCATCGTGGAATCTTTAAGATTAGTCTTAGAAAATAATACCTTCTGGTTCAACGGAAAATTCTATCATCAAAGAAAGGGAACGGCCATGGGAACGAAAGTCGCTCCAACATACGCTACACTTGTGTTTGGTTATATAGAGGATTTTCTTAACAGGAAGGTACATGATTCCATGTCAGAATCCATTGCCAAACATGTGCGCGAAACTTGGAAGCGATTCTTGGACGATTGTTTTTTAGTTTGGCTCTCAACTCGTGAAAATTTAGACATTTTTCCGGATATTATTAATACGCTCCATCCTTCCATCAGTTTTACTATGGAGTTTAGCGATAGCGAAATTCCATTTCTGGACGTCCTTGTAGTTAAGGAAGATACTAAATTGAAAACTGATATCTACTACAAACCAACGGACACCCATCAATACTTACAATTCGTTTCATGTCACCCCAGGCATACAAGAACTAACATCCCTTATTCACTTGCACGGAGAGTATGTACCATCGTGTCGGAAACGGATAAAAGAGACTTAAGATTGAAAGAATTGATGGGGTATCTCAGGAAGCTAGGATATCCGCTTCGCGTCATAAATGACTCTATAGAAAAGTCGTTAAAAATTCCAAGACATACTCTCCTGAAACCTAATGAAAAATCTGTGGGCGATCAAATTATACCGTTTGTGTCCACCTTCAATCCTAATAACTGTGATATCATGCCAGTCATAAGGGACAACCTCCCAATTCCACAGCAAAGCGATAAAATGAAACAAGGACTGAATAAATTTAAAATTATAAAAAGTACCAGGCAACCAAAAAATCTCAAGCAAATTCCTTGCCCATCCAAATATTCTTGTACAGAGAGTGTACCATGTGTAAGTAGATGTAACACACCAAGATGCGGCACGTGTAACATCATAAGTGAAGGTACTACTTTCCTTTTTGCAAATGGCAAGGGTTTCAATGTGAAAGCCGACATGAACTGCCGCAGCAAAGATGTGGTGTATGTTATGAGATGTTTGGGATGCGGCGAAAACTACATCGGTGAAACCGGCATGGAATTAAAAGATAGAGTCACTGTACACAAACAGCAGATTAGAGACCCTGATGTTCGATGCTTAGGTGTCAGCAAACACATTGATGATTGCGGAAACGGGAAATTTAGTATTTTTCCGTTTTATAAATTGTATACAAGTAACAAGCAGCTGAGACTGGAAAAAGAACAAATGTTTATCCAATTGATGAAACCCAAATTGAACTCGAGAATGTATTAATAGATTTGTCATTTCAATCGTAAATGTTACACTGTTACTTTACAAATACTGTATATTTTATAGAGAATCTCACCAGAGTGTCTTTTGATATCAAATATATCAACACGAGTTGATAAAAGTGGAAAGATTCCGACGCTTGCCGAGGAGTTTTGCCACTTTTATCAACGAGTGTTGATATATTTGATATCAAAAGGCACGAGGGTTAAATTTTATTAATCATCCAACATCATTCTTTCAACTTTTTGAATGAGAGATAATGTTTGTGAGAGAGGGAAAGCGATTTTCAAGCACAGAATTAAAGAATGACATTATATGATAAAGAGGTTATCACGCTTGTGTGTTTGGGGATGGTTAATATCCTGTATTAGGAATAAACACTATGTATTTAGCTCGCAGAGTGTAGCAATGACACGCTAGTAACACCCCCTTCACTCACCGCTTGATGATCCAGAGTCTATAGCGAAGCCATAGGCGCTGTAATGCATCACAGACTCGTAGTCATCAGACATCCCATATGTGTCGGCTTCTGCAGAGCTTTTACGGTCAAAGTTGTGTTCAGTGCCTGAATTAATAAAAATCATTTGTAGTATGGGTGAAGTGGTGATATTCATTGTATTGCCACCGCCAAAGAGGTTTATTATTATCTAAAGATGAACTACAGTGAACTACGTGTATAACGAACACACTTATAATGAAGTGACGGATATAACGAATTGTTGTTTGGATACCGGCCATTTGTGGTATCCTTTAGTTGAAACGCTTTTAACGAACTACGGTTATAACGAACAAAAAAAATTATTGGTCCCTTTGAGTTTGTTATAACCGAAGTTTTCCTGTTATCGTGTTACATACATTAACAGTTAGCAACAGATAGATGTAGCCCCAGAAAACTAAAAAAAGGAAAGACGTTACCCACGTCATGTTGACTGAATTGAACAAAATAATTTGCAAAACGACCTTTTATTTTGTGACTTTTCTCAAAACTCGGTTCGCGAAGTAACCGTATATTTGGGCTGTTCCCAATAAACTTGTCCCATGAAAATAACAAATTGAAGTCGCAATATCAAAAATGTCCACAGTGAGCAGCACAGATTTTCGGATCTATCCTCTTACGTGGTGTTATATAAGAAAACATGTACCTTCCTTGATGTTGCTCCATTCAATAGTGATGTAATTATCTCTGTCGGGACGACTCTGCTCGTGCCAGAACCCCAGGGAGTGCATGGTCTCGTGCATGACGGTTCCTAACTTCATGCATCCACTGCCGAGAGTCACGACATCCAAGCCACTGTGACGTCCTACAGGAGTATGGCACCTGCACCAACATACATTTTATGGACTCAATGGTATGTTTCGAAATGTCCAATTTGTTATATCGGCACCGCAGTGCATGTTGCAGTTAAATCAGTTTGTGCTGGAAGGATGAAACCTGCATTGATCGTTGGAGATGTGCGATGAAGCATACCAAACCAAGCCACTCATTGTAACAATCCGTTCCCATTCCCAAACATAGGGTGATGGAGACATATTGTCCCCTATGACTTTGCCATGCATTACCCATGAATTTGCCATTTTTATTACTCCTTCAGCGCAGTTACATGAACGAAATGCAACCCCTTGTTAAAATATTTCCAAACCAACCACATGTTTGGAGAGCTTTCATATCAGTTTAACATTCATGTTATTGCTGGAAGGACACACGATCAGCCATTGTAATTTATCCTTCTTATGTATAGAGTACTTTGGTTATGTTTTGCATCACCTGTCATGTATCAGTTCATATATTTGCATGTTAACACCTCCTTCATTGGGTTGTTTGTTGAATCACACCGCACTCGGCAATATTCCAGCTGTCTGACGGCGGTCCGTAAATAATCGAGTCTAGACTAGACAATCCAGTGATTAACAACACAAGCATCGATCCACGCAATTGGAATACGATGACATGCATCACCCAAGTCGCGAGCCTGACCAATCGATCCCGATAGTCGCATCCTACGACAAGCATGGGTTGCTGAAGACCTATTCTAACCCGGATCTTCACGGGTACAACCCCTCCTTCAAGTCAAGTGACACAAGTATATGTGTACCTTCTTTCTTGTATCCTCACATTTTGTATCGGAATGATGTCAAGTAAATTGATCAGATAATGAGTATGTAGAGCTTATGAAAGTTACATGCATACTATTATGCAAGCACTTTAACTGAATAGTACAGTTTTTGTTTCAAATGCATGATGGGTACAGATAGTTCTACAAATGGACGACATGCAAGCACACACTGGTACAAGCGATATAACTGAAAAGTACAGTTTTTGTTTCCAATGCATGATGGGTACATCTAGTTCTACAAATGAACGACATGAAAGTACACACTCGTACAAGCGATATAACTGAATAGTACAGTTTTTGTTTCAAATGCATGATGGGTACAGCTAGTTCTACAAATGAACAATGTGGTATTTACCCCGATCCTCCCGCGTATCGTATGTAGGCATGCTCGTGTGTGCGGGGTTTGAAAGTGATGCACGCTTTACCATTGACCTTGGTCTTCTCATGAATTGTCTGCATGGCTGTATGTATGGTTCTCTCCTCAGACGATGCTACATTAGAAATACTGTCACTCCAAACAGAGATATGCATAGCAACGTGTGTGAAGTGCTCTCTGATTACGTTAAAATTCATTGTTGTTACGACAGCATTCATGTAGCTGTCCTATATTCAAAACTATGTCATTGAAACATTTGAAATTTTGAAAATAACTATTTTGGAATTATTTCAAATTATAAATGTGATATTTATTGTTTTAATTTCCAATTATTGTATTTATTCATGCACATGTATTGAAATCCGAATTCATCTTTAGTTGTTTATATTTGTTCAGAACAACTTTTCATTGCTTACAGAAATGATGGGTGTCAATTTCGAAAGGAACTTCGCCATTTGGCCATCGGTAGTTTTTGTCTCTTCTTGCATTTCTGTCCTGTAAAATAGACATGTTTTGACAATTCTGAAGTTTGCATATATCACAATGATTGAAAAAGTTCATGTTATGACATGATACTTTAAATACTTTTCCATTTTTCTCATCTTATTTAATTATATACAAAACAAAATGCCTTACGTTGGGGTTTTGTCCTGGCATGAGAATGATATCTCCCTCGAAGAGGCCTTGCAATAACAAATATTCATTTGGTTTATATAGTAAAATACTTTTATGATAAAAATGGATGCGTGGGTGGAAAGTGAATGCCTTTTTAAAAGAAACAATGACTTCTTTCTTTGCAAAATCATTATCGCACTGATTCAAAATAAACAATGCCGGTGAGTATGGTCGGTTTTGGTCACATGAGACCCAAGAGACAAATGGTTCCCAACCATTTGATGTCATGAACAAATGTCTATCGACATAGCAAACATTTGAAACACTTTCCACAAATCATTTGACTCATTTTTCTGTGAATCTTCAAAAGTACAGATATATGTCTGTCCACTCATTATGTAGGATCATATCATGAAACAGGTGCAGTGGTGAGGTGAAATGGAGTTCAATATCGCGTTCAAAATTATTGCACTTATATAGCGACGTGATAATTAAAAAGACTTATACAAACTTTCGAAGAAAATCATAAAAATCTTAATTATTTGTGAACCTACCAGGGTTTTCTTCCGGATACGCCTCTAGAAAAATAAAAGAAGAATTAAGTTTTAAAGCTTTAATTTGATATTGACATAAATTTGAAAGTCGTGGTTTTTATTATGGTACCATTGTAGTGTTGATACGGAGGTCCGTACTTAATTGCAGACAATGAATAAATGAACATTATCTTCAAATTTCACAAATTAATGCAAAATTACAAAACAATTAAATGTTCATTTATATATCAATTTCAACAAACACCTTGTCACTGAGTCTATTGTAGCATATGTGTGTCATAACTGAGACTTAAAGTGGTTGATGATGCATGTCATGGTATCCCAATTGCGTGGATCAATGGTCATGCTCAATCACTGGATTGTCTGGTCCAGACTCTTTTATTTACAGACCGTCGCTATATAGCTGGAACATTGCTGAGTGCGGCGTTCAACAACAAACAAACAAAACTGAGATGACGGTATGTCTACATATCACAAACTGGCTGTTTGCATGCATTCACTTGTGATTGCCAGTCATTAGGATAAGGTTGTGTGGCCAGGTGACGTGGTATCACACCATACATGAATGTTGCCTTACATCAGCCAAACAATTGATCAACAGCTTTAGAAAAAGAATGTGATTCGTTTATAAATAAACGCTTGCAAAAGCGCTTACCTCAAAGCTATATGTTTATGCATCATATTGCACTTACCATCGAAGTCTGGAAGCTGAATAAGAGAAACAAAGATTTTTTATTTCTTCACAAATAAGGTGTGACTCAAACTTTTGTTTAATGTTTCAAATTTGAAGGGGTATGTCGGTCTCTTTCCGATAAGACAATTATCAATTAATCTTAAATTCAAACTTAATCAAGCGTTTACTTTGTATGGTTTTAATCAATAGTGACATGAAACAAATCGCCAATTAAGTGAGTGAGTGAGGTTTTACGCCGCTTTTAGCAATATTCCAGCAATATCACGGCGGGGGACACATTCAATGGGCTTCACACATTGTACCCATGTCGGGAATCGAACCCGGGTCTTCGGCGTGACGAGCGAGCGCTTTAACCACTGGGCTACCCGACCGCCCCTATCGCCTATTAAGAGCGGTATGTGTAATATACTGACCTGATCTATTGGTATAGCAAGAGCATGCCCAACGAATAGGATGAGAACAACCCCTAACATGGTGCCTTCAAGAAACCGTTCTGAAATAATAGTAAGTAAAGAAGCCATTTATACTGATCTCTGTTCTTGATAAGGACCGTGGGAGCGGACGTTTGGCGATTGTCAAAGTGTTACGTATTGATTCCAAAGGTCGCAATTTATATTTAACCCCTTTAAGTGTCTACAAACCCTTTGAGATAAAAGGCAAGTGATCCTCTCAAAATATAGCAGACTTTGGTAACCGAACATACTCAACCTCAGTGTTAATGACATCAGAAGTCGGCTAGGACTTGACATTCACAAAAGCATGGGGAGAAGTTTCTGATGTTTGTGATGAGTATTCGACGTGGCTTGTGACAATATCTACATCTAACATCTGACGAGAAATCTGAATCCTGTTTCGGATAAACGGGGGCATCTGGCTTTCCATGGAATAAACGATCTGACTTTCTTGGATTCGAACCTGTCTGAACCGAAGAAACTGACCTTTCCTAATCTGAATTACCCTACTGACCTGACCTGAAAGTACCCTGACCATTCCTGGTAGTGACTGTACTGCCTAAAATCACCTGAGTGGCCGAGTAACCATCTGTCATCTGTTGCAGACTGGTGAAAGTATAACATGTCAAGGCCAGAGAATAACCAGTCTCGATTATCCGCCCAAACAAATTTCATTGGCCGCAAAAGAGCGGTGACAATTATATGAATTAATAATGACAATGAGTAATGACACTGATGTTCGAGAAAAGGGGAAGCATGTCTTGTCCTGATCTACCCTCAAAAAAAGTCGTAAACACAGCATGAACATACTGCTTGAAACCTTCCTCCAAAATCAGTCATCGAAGTATTGGCCTACATCCTTCCATCAAACAAAGCCTCCTTTTCTTGATCAAAATCCACACAAACATCCTCACATCATTTTTGTGTAAGTGTAAGAGGAAAAGTTTCGTTATTGAAAAGGAGGGACTAATCTGACATTTCTTGTCACATCAAAGTAATTTTCTTGATGTTGAGAGGCATTTTTTTTGTTTACAAATACAATTCCTTTAATTTAAAATCTGTCTCCTCTTTCTCATTCTTTCGGAAATTCTAATTCTTTCAGTTTTGATTCTTTCTGAAATTCCATTTCCAGCCTTTTTAATTCAAAGCTTTCTGATTTTACCCCAAGCAACGCCAACGCCAAAGCTGAATCGCCTCAAAGTACCTCCATAAATATATGTTTTAATCAAGACAATGGCTTCCTGTAAAGCCTCCAAAATGCATTGATGTTGGACATGCCTGTTGACCCCTCGTGTTTGTTCGGTTTTAATATGTTTTAATCAAGACAATGGCTTCCTGAAAAGCCTCCAAAATGCATTGATGTTGGACATGCCTGTTGACCCCTCGTGTTTGTTCGGTACTACTAAATATATATATAATGAAGTCCACGTTAGTCCATCTTCTTTATATCAGTTTCAGACATATTACTCTCGCTGTCTCATGACAGCTCTTCAGTGTAACTGACAATGACATATAATATGACGTCATACTTATGATGACGTCATAAATTACAACTGTGACGTCATAATGTATTTACACACTCCAGCGACGACACCAAGTAATTTAACAATTAAAAAACACAGTGAAGACTTCTCTTGAGATCTACACCCTAAAGAAAAAGACTACTTAAGAAACTGTGACCCGCAGACGGCTAATTTCTACGGACTACCCAAGATCCATAAAAGTAAATTGAAAAATAACGCTATTGCCGAACAGAATGCGGAGTATATCGAAATTACCAGCTGTCCTGATTTCACATTCAGGCCGATTGTCGGAGGACCGAACAGCCCGACTCAGCGCCTAGGTAATCTCGTCGATATCATTTTAAAACCATTAACAAAGCACGTACCGAGTTTTGTAAGAGACGATGTAGACTTTCTTACCCACCTGCCCGATGCCGTACCTATTGATGCGACTCTAGCCACCTTTGATGTGAAGAGTTTATTTACCAACTTACCCCATGATTTGGGATTGGAAGCAGTTCAATTTTGGCTGAGAAAACATCCTGAGGCTATTGACACTGAATTTTCGGAAAGCTTCATCGTGGAATCTTTAAGATTAGTCTTAGAAAATAATACCTTCTGGTTCAACGGAAAATTCTATCATCAAAGAAAGGGAACGGCCATGGGAACGAAAGTCGCTCCAACATACGCTACACTTGTGTTTGGTTATATAGAGGATTTTCTTAACAGGAAGGTACATGATTCCATGTCAGAATCCATTGCCAAACATGTGCGCGAAACTTGGAAGCGATTCTTGGACGATTGTTTTTTAGTTTGGCTCTCAACTCGTGAAAATTTAGACATTTTTCTGGATATTATTAATACGCTCCATCCTTCCATCAGTTTTACTATGGAGTTTAGCGATAGCGAAATTCCATTTCTGGACGTCCTTGTAGTTAAGGAAGATACTAAATTGAAAACTGATATCTACTACAAACCAACGGACACCCATCAATACTTACAATTCGTTTCATGTCACCCCAGGCATACAAGAACTAACATCCCTTATTCACTTGCACGGAGAGTATGTACCATCGTGTCGGAAACGGATAAAAGAGACTTAAGATTGAAAGAATTGATGGGGTATCTCAGGGAGCTAGGATATCCGCTTCGCGTCATAAATGACTCTATAGAAAAGTCGTTAAAAATTCCAAGACATACTCTCCTGAAACCTAATGAAAAATCTGTGGGCGATCAAATTATACCGTTTGTGTCCACCTTCAATCCTAATAACTGTGATATCACGCCAGTCATAAGGGACAACCTCCCAATTCCACAGCAAAGCGATAAAATGAAACAAGGACTGAATAAATTTAAAATTATAAAAAAGTACCAGGCAACCAAAAAATCTCAAGCAAATTCCTTGCCCATCCAAATATTCTTGTACAGAGAGTGTACCATGTGTAAGTAGATGTAACACACCAAGATGCGGCACGTGTAACATCATAAGTGAAGGTACTACTTTCCTTTTTGCAAATGGCAAGGGTTTCAATGTGAAAGCCGACATGAACTGCCGCAGCAAAGATGTGGTGTATATTATGAGATGTTTGGGATGCGGCGAAAACTACATCGGTGAAACCGGCATGGAATTAAAAGATAGAGTCACTGTACACAAACAGCAGATTAGAGACCCTGATGTTCGATGCATAGGTGTCAGCAAACACATTGATGATTGCGGAAAAGGGAAATTTAGTATTTTTCCGTTTTATAAATTGTATACAAGTAACAAGCAGCTGAGACTGGAAAAAGAACAAATGTTTATCCAATTGATGAAACCCAAATTGAACTCGAGAATGTAATATTAATTTCAATCGTAAATGTTACACTGTTACTTTACAAATACTGTATATTTTATAGAGAATCTCACCAGAGTGTCTTTTGATATCAAATATATCAACACGAGTTGATAAAAGTGGAAAGATTCCGACGCTTGCCGAGGAGTTTTGCCACTTTTATCAACGAGTGTTGATATATTTGATATCAAAAGGCACGAGGGTTAAATTTTATTAATCATCCAACATCATTCTTTCAACTTTTTGAATGAGAGATAATGTTTGTGAGAGAGGGAAAGCGATTTTCAAGCACAGAATTAAAGAATGACATTATATGATAAAGAGGTTATCACGCTTGTGTGTTTGGGGATGGTTAATATCCTGTATTAGGAATAAACACTATGTATTTAGCTCGCAGAGTGTACCAATGACACGCTAGTAACACCCCCTTCACTCACCGCTTGATGATCCAGAGTCTATAGCAAAGCCATAGGCGCTGTAATGCATTACAGACTCGTAGTCATCAGGCATCCCATATGTGTCGGCTTCTGCAGAGCTTTTACGGTCAGTTGTGTTCAGTGCCTGAATTAATAAAAATCATTTGTAGTATGGGTGAAGTGGTGATATTCATTGTATTGCCACCGCCAAAGAGGTTTATTATTATCTAAAGATGAACTACAGTGAACTACGTGTATAACGAACACACTTATAATGAAGTGACGGATATAACAAATTGTTGTTTGGATACCGGCCATTTGTGGTATCCTTTAGTTGAAACGCTTTTAACGAACTACGGTTATAACGAACAAAAAAAAATATTGGTCCCTTTGAGATTGTTATAACCGAAGTTTTCCTGTTATCGTGTTACATACATTAACAGTTAGCAACAGATAGATGTAGCCCCAGAAAACTAAAAAAAGGAAAGACGTTACCCACGTCATGTTTACTGAATTGAACAAAATAATTTGCAAAACGACCTTTTATGTTGTGACTTTTCTCAAAACCCGGTTCGCGAAGTAACCGGATCTTTGGGCTGTTCCCAATAAACTTGTCCCATGAAAATAACAAATTGAAGTCGCAATATCAAAAATGTCCACAGTGAGCAGCACAGATTTTCGGATCTATCCTCTTACGTGGTGTTATATAAGAAAACATGTACCTTCCTTGATGTTGCTCCAAACAATAGTGATGTAATTATCTCTGTCGGGACGACTCTGCTCGTGCCAGAAGCCCAGGGAGTGCATGGTCTCGTGCATGACGGTTCCTAACTTCATGCATCCACTGCCGAGAGTCACATCCAAGCCTCTGTGACGTCCTACAGGAGTATGGCACCTGCACCAACATACATTTTATGGACTCAATGGTATGTCCAATTTGTTATATCGGCACCGCAGTGCATGTTGCAGTTAAATCAGTTTGTGCTGGAAGGATGAAACCTGCATTGATCGTTGGAGATGTGCGATGAAGCATACCAAACCAAGCCACTCATTGTAACAATCCGTTCCCATTCCCAAACATAGGGTGATGGAGACATATTGTCCTATGACTTTGCCATGCATTACCCTTGAATTTGCCATTTTATTACTCCTTCAGCGCAGTTACATGAACGAAATGCAACCCCTTGTTAAAATATTTCCAAACCAACCACATGTTTGGAGAGCTTTCATATCAGTTTAACATTCATGTTATTGCTGGAAGGACACACGATCAGCCATTGTAATTTATCCTTCTTATGTATAGAGTACTTTGGTTATGTTTTGCATCACCTGTCATGTATCAGTTCATATATTTGCATGTTAACACCTCCTTCATTGGGTTGTTTGTTGAATCACACCGCACTCAGCAATATTCCAGCTGTCTGACGGCGGTCCGTAAATAATCGAGTCTAGACTAGACAATCCAGTGATTAACAACACAAGCATCGATCCACGCAATTGGAATACGATGACATGCATCACCCAAGTCGCGAGCCTGACCAATCGATCCCGATAGTCGCATCCTACGACAAGCATGGGTTGCTGAAGACCTATTCTAACCCGGATCTTCACGGGTACAACCCCTCCTTCAAGTCAAGTGACACAAGTATATGTGTACCTTCTTTCTTGTATCCTCACATTTTGTATCGGAATGATGTCAAGTAAATTGATCAGATAATGAGTATGTAGAGCTTATGAAAGTTACATGCATACTATTATGCAAGCAATTTAACTGAATAGTACAGTTTTTGTTTCAAATGCATGATGGGTACAGATAATTCTACAAATGGACGACATGCAAGCACACACTCGTGCAAGCGATATAACTGAATAGTACAGTTTTTGTTTCAAATGCATGATGGGTACAGATAGTTCTACATGTGGACGACATGCAAGTACACACTCGTACAAGCGATATAACTGAATAGTACAGTTTTTGTTCCCAATGCATGATTGGTACAGATAGTTCTACAAATGGACGACATGCAAGCACACACTGGTACAAGCGATATAACTGAATAGTACAGTTTTTGTTTCCAATGCATGATGGGTACATCTAGTTCTACAAATGAACGACATGAAAGTACACACTCGTACAAGCGATATAACTGAATAGTACAGTTTTTGTTTCAAATGCATGATGGGTACAGCTAGTTCTACAAATGAACAATGTGGTATTTACCCCGATCCTCCCGCGTATCGTATGTAGGCATGCTCGTGTGTGCGGGGTTTGAAAGTGATGCACGCTTTACCATTGACCTTGGTCTTCTCATGAATTGTCTGCATGGCTGTATGTATGGTTCTCTCCTCAGACGATGCTACATTAGAAATACTGTCACTCCAAACAGAGATATGCATAGCAACGTGTGTGAAGTGCTCTCTGATTACGTTAAAATTCATTGTTGTTACGACAGCATTCATGTAGCTGTTTTATATTCAAAACTATGTCATTGAAACATTTGAAATTTTGAAAATAACTATTTTGGAATTATTTCAAATTATAAATGTGATATTTATTGTTTTAATTTCCAATTATTGTATTTATTCATGCACATGTATTGAAATCCGAATTCATCTTTAGTTGTTTATATTTGTTCAGAACAACTTTTCATTGCTTACAGAAATGATGGGTGTCAATTTCGAAAGGAACTTCGCCATTTGGCCATCGGTAGTTTTTGTCTCTTCTCGCATTTCTGTCCTGTAAAATAGACATGCTTTGACAATACTTAAGTTTGCATATATCACAATGATTGAAAAAGTTCATGTTATGACATGATACTTTAAATACTTTTCCATTTTTCTCATCTTATTTAATTATATACAAAATAAAATGCCTTATGTTGGGGTTTTGTCCTGGCATGAGAATGATATCTCCCTCGGAGAGGCCTGGCAAAAACAAATATTCATTTGGTTTATATAGTAAAATACATTTATGACAAAAATGGATGCGTGGGTGGAAAGTGAATGCCTTTTTAAAAGAAACAATGACATCATGACTTCTTTTTTTGCAAAATCGTGTTCGCACTGATTCAAAATATAAATGCCAGTGAGTAGGGTCGGTTTTGGTCACATGAGACCCAAGAGACAAATGGTTCCCAACCATTTGATATCATGAACAAATGTCTATCGACATAGCAAACATTTGGAACACTTTCCACAAATCATTTGACTCATTTTTCTGTGAATCTTCAAAAGTACAGATATATGTCTGTCCACTCATTATTTAGGATCATATCATGAAACAGGTGCAGTGGTTAGGTGAAATGGAGTTCAATATCGCGTTCAAAATTATTGCACTTATATAGCGACGTGATAATTATACAGACTTATACAAACTATCGAAGAAAATCTTAATAATCTTAATTATTTGTGTACCTACCAGGGTTTTCTTCCGGATACGCCTCTAGAAAAATAAAACAAGAATTAAGTTTTAAAGTCGTGGTTTTTATTATGGTACTATTCTAGTGTTGATACGGAGGTCCGTACTTATTGCAGACAATGAACATTATCTTCAAATTTCACAAATTAATGCAAAAATTACAAAACAATTAAATGTTCATTTATATTTCAATTTCAACAAACACCTTGTCACTGAGTCTATTGTAGCATTTGTGTGTCATAACTGAGACTTAAAGTGGTTGATGATGCATGTCATGGTATCCCAATTGCGTTGATCAATGGTCATGCCCAATCACTGGATTGTCTGGTCCAGACTCGTTTATTTACAGACCGCTGCTATATAGATGGAATATTGCTGAGTGCGGCGTTAAACAACAATTAAACAAAACTGAGATGACAGTATGTCCACAGATCACAAACTGGCTGTTTGCATGCATTCACTTGTGATTGCCAGTCATTAGGATAAGGTAGTGTAGCCAGGTGACGTGGTATCACACCATTCATGAATGTTGCCTTACATCAGCCAAACAATTGATCAACAGCTTTAGAAAAAGAATGTGATTCGTTTATAAATTAACGCTTGTAAAAGCGCTTACCTCAAAGCTATATGTTTATGCATTATATTGCACTTACCATCGAAGTCTGGAAGCTGAATAAGAGAAACAAAGATTTTGTATTTCTTTACAAATAAGGTGTGACTCAAACTTTTGTTTAATGTTTCAAATTTGATCTTTAAGCATCTGGGGTATGTCGTTCTCTTTCCGTTCAGACAATTATCCATTCATCTTAAATTCAAACTTAATCAAGCGTTTACTTTGTTTGGTTTTAGAAAAGTTACCAAAATTTAATCAATAGTGATCTATTAAGTGAGTGAGTGAGGTTTTACGCCACTTTTAGCAATATTCCAGCAATATCACGGCGGGGGACACAAGAAATTGGCTTCACATAAGTCGAGAATCGAATCCGGGTCTTCGGCGTGACGAGCGAGCGCTTTAACCACTAGGCTACTCGACCGCCCTTATCGCCTATTAAGAGCAGTATGTGTAATATACTGACCTGATCTATTGGTATAGCAAGAGCATGCCCAACAAATAGGATGAGAACAACCCCTAACATGGTGCCTTCAAAAAACCGTTCTGAAATAATAGTAAGTAAAGAAGCTAGTTATACTGATCTCTGTTATTGATAAGGACCGTGGGAGCGGACGTTTGGCGATTGTCGAAAAGTTACGTATTGATTCCAAAAGTCGCAATGTATATTTAACCTCTTTAAGTGATAACAAACCCTTTGAGATAAAAGGCAAGTGCTCCTCTCAAAATATAGCAGACTTTGGTAACCGAACTTACTCAACCATACTCAACCTCAGTGTTAATGACATCAGAAATCGGCTAGGACTTGACATTCACAAAAGCATGGGGAGAAGTTTCTGATGTTTGTGATGAGCATGCGACGTAGCTTGTGACAATATCTACATCTAACAACTGACGAGAAATCTGAATCCTGTTTCGGATAAACGGGGGCATCTGGCTTTCCATGGAATAAACGATCTGACTTTCTTGGATTCGAACCTGTCTGAACCGAAGAAACTGGCCTTTCCTAATCTGAATTACCCTACTGACCTGACCTGAAAGTACCCTGACCATTCCTGGTAGTGACCGTACTGCCTAAAATCACGTGAGTGGCCGAGTAACCATCTGTCATCTGTTGCAGACTGGTGAAAATATAGCATGTCAAGGCCAGAGAATAACCAGTCTCGATTATCCGCCGAAACAAATTCCATTGGCCGTGAAGGAGCGGTGACAATTATATGAATTAATAATGACAATGAGTAATGACACTGATGTTCGAGAAAAGGGGAAGCATGTCTTGTCCTGATCTACCCTCAAAATAAGTCGTAAACACAGCATGAACATACTGCTTGAAACCTTCCTCCAAAATCAGTCATCAAAGTATTGGCCTGCATCCTTCCATCAAACAAAGTCTCCTTTTCCTTATCAAAATCAACACAAACATCCTCACATCTTTTTTCACTGCCTAAATTGTTGATTGAATGTTTCGGGATCCAACTCATAAGCCTTCAAAAATTGTCCTTTTTCAATTCATCATAGTTTTAACTAACTAGTTTCAATAATAAACGCCATGAGCTTTGCCCTTTAGAACACTTTGTATTAACATCCCAGTGCTCCTGTGGCCTTTTCAAATTTGTCGCTATCTTTTCAAAGTTTACAAATACAATTCCTTTAATTTAAAATCTATCTCCTCTTTCTCATTCTTTCGGAAATTCTAATTCTTTCAGTTTTTATTCTTTCTGAAATTCCATTTCCAGCCTTTTATAATTCAAAGCTTTCTGATTTTACCCCAACGCCAAAGCTGAATCGCCTCAAAGTACCTCCATAAATATATGTTTTAATCAAGACAATTGTTTGCTGAAAAGACTCCAAAATGCATTGGTGTTGGACATGCCTGATACGTTATCAAAGTGTCCAATTTATCCGCACAACACAAGAGGACCATCTCCACCATACACCTGACCAAACCCAAAAAACCAGATCAGACTCCGCCCCCATCACAATCACCCTCCCCTACATTGGCAAGACCTCTCATCAAATCAGCAGATTACTTTACAGCCAAACAGGTATTGATACCATCTTCACTGACTACCCATCCCTTAGAATTATCCTCCAAGCTAATTGCCGCACCCCAGTCCCAACCCCCAACCCCTCGACTGTACATTTGGCTTCATCCAATTATCAGCTTGTTTTATGTATACCTCTCATCACTTGGTTGCTCAAGCTTCATAACGGTGTAAGAATCTACATCAAAACGTGGCTGTATGCATCAAACCAGAAGTTGTTATTCATTTATCCATAAAGATTTTCTTGTCAAATTTATGTTTGTGCTTGAATATTGATTCGATGAGGTTTAAAGGCTTGTTCCAGCGGGTAGATTATCGTGTCCGATGTCTTTAGCGAGGTACTATTAATACCTGGTACATGCATATGTAGGTACATGCATATTTATTCTCTTTGCAACACATGCCCAACTTTTCACTCGCTTCGCAATCTGATGGCAACAAACACAAATTGAATTAATCTGGTGAACTAAAGATTTTATCACATAAGATCATCAGGAATTCTTTGATAAACAATTTATGAGAAACAAAATGAAATAATAACGCTAACTGTATAACATTACAGTTTATTGACATTCCATGAAATAAGAATTATATCTTAATGAAGTCACGCTCGTCAGCTGGTAACTCTGCTATAGTGAAGAACAGTCGCCTTTGGTAACAGTCAGATCATCAATGGCAATGTCACTACTGTGGGCGCTGCCAATGTCGCCTTCTATTTTAACCTAAAACAAGGAAGATCGGCGTTACACATGAAGCAATAGTACAAATGGTTAACGGACAACTGTAGAGTCCATCCGCAAGACTCACATTAAAGGGTTTCCATTGAGGTTGGCAAGAAAACGACAAAATCCTTTCCCTATTCATTAGAAATTTCTGCTAAAAGCAGAGTCTCTGAAAAGATTCCGACTATGTCATGAGTATATGTTTTTGAATCGCTATCGTATAGGGGTGATACCAAGTGTCCACGAAAAGGTCAGTGTATCCTCCTCCACCGGTGACACCCGTCACAAACACATGGAAAGACAAGTCAATTTCAAAGAAAGCAAGACTGCATTTGTAATACGGTTTTCATGTTTGGCTCGTGGTATGGCTGTTACATATCTCACGCATATCTCATCTCACTAAACAATTCAGTTTGAATTTTGAACCTGACAATTCAGCATTTGCAATCTTTTTGAGTGATATAGCATTGGTTCCATATCCTTTTAGGGACGTACCACGTCTAGCAGTCAACTCACCTTGAAATCCCCAGTTTTAACTTCGAGGTTGGTCATGTAGTGATGCCACCCGTGACCCTGATCACCAGACACAGTGTGCAAATTCGTATCATGGCCTCCTGTTTGCAACCTTAGTTTCAGACTTCCTTCGTCGTGGCCATGTATGCTGTAGTAGACGCTCAGACAGTAGTGGCCTGCAGCGAATGTCTCGGACAAGAGGTAGCCTTTCTTGTGTTCATTTCCCGATGCTTCAAGGTAGGCATAGTAACCTGAAAGGTAATACATAATAAAGGGTTCTGTTCGTTTTCATAACTATATGTAATAAAAAGGCATTCATGGTCAGAATAAAATTCCACAGGAATAATAAATATTATTATTCCTTTGGGTTTTTTTTCGTTTTTCAACTCGCCCAGATGTATTATTTACTTATTGACTCCGGTATAGAGTTTT